GTCTCCCTCTTCCCCTGTTCTCACATCATGAAACCTGATCAATTTTAACTTCTAAATCTTTCAAAACCACCCTTCTTTTCATCTACATGACCATTTCCCCAAACAAAAAAGTGTTATTTTTCGCATGCATCACTGAAATAGATTCTTAACTGGTCTAACCGCCTTCAAACCAAACTCCACACTACAGCTAGAAGGATTAAAAAAAAAAAAAAAAAATTAAACAAAACCAATCCTACAGTGCCAAGCCCTGCTCCATAGCTTGCTATTGCTCTAAAGATAAATACCGAACCTAGCCCCAGTCTTGCCAGTCTTTCCTCTTGTGCCTCATGTTCTTCTCCATGCTCCCTGCACCTCACCACACTGATCTTTTAGTTTCTCAGAGCATTTACTTCCTGCTTCAGGGCCTTTGCACACATCGTTCCTTCATTTATAGCACTGAGTTCTGCGCAAGACTAACTCATCCTAGACCTTTTAGTCTCAGGTTAAGCATCACCTCCTCAACAATCATTAATAGATGCTAAACCATTAAAGTAAAAGGCTGGGGGAGGGGGAACTTTAAAACACATGGAGAAGGCTGAGAGCACTTGACCACTGACAAAACTCTCTAAAAGAGCATCATTCACACATCGTACACTTCCTGATGTGAAGCAATAGGAAGGACCTAGAAGCTCCTACCTCCTACGAAGTATTCCTGACAAAAAAACAACGAAACAAGCTTCTAGATCTAACTACTAACTACATGTTTGTAGGAAAACTGGAGAGTAAAGGAATAAGTAATACCAAAAGCAAATAATTACCCAAACCCAGATCACGGGAAATTCTACGGGATCTCTGGTGACGGAATACGCTTAGGTGGGGAGACCATCATAGAGACTTAAAAAACATAAACCTAACACAGCATGTGGAACTTGTTCATTCAGGTCCTGATTCAAACAAATCATCTGTAAAATGCCATTTTTCCCTAAACAATCATGAAATTTTGAGTTATGTACTAGGTTAATTAAGAAACTGTTAATTGTAGAAAAAAGGCACTATGGTAATTTTTTTTTTAAATCCTGATCTGGTAAGATATACATCCTCACACATTTAAAGGTAAAATGACACACTTGTGATATGCTTTAAAATATTTCATTAAAGGGGGCACCCGGGTGGCTCAGTGAGTTAAGTGTCCGAATTCACAAGCCCCACGTCAGGCTCTGTGCTAACAGCTTAGCTGTGTCTCCCTCTCTCTTGGCCCTGCCCCACTTGTGCTCTATCAGAAATAAACATTAAAAAATTTTTTTTTAAATTTCATTAATGGGGCCCCGGGGTGGCTCAGTCAGTTAAGCATCTGACCCTTGATTTTGGCTCAGGTCACGATCTCACTGTTTGCGGGATGGAGCCCTGCACAGGGTTGTGTGGAGCCTGCTTGGGATCTCTCCCTCCGCTTTCTGCCCTCCCCCACTCACTCTTGCCCTCCCTCAAGAACATTTTAAACAATATTTCATTAAAACGTTGAGAAAAATAGAAAAAATACTGAATTAGAACAATAGGTTTTACTTTATTAAACGGTATACACCAAATGGAAAGAAATCACAAACATTGTTTATTGCCTGCATCTTGAAAAAACTAGTAGTCTTAGGAAACACTCCAGTTACAAAAAAAAGAATCTACATCACTAATTGGTACTGTTTTGGCTCTCTGGAAGTTTGTTTCTTTACAGCTAATAATAAACCTCAGGAAGGAGTATAAAAAGCTGAAAAGAATTTGCCTACTTTTAAATGAACGAGGGAACAAAGTCCTTTTTGCAGTTTTTTCTTGCTTTCAAAAAAACTCTCCCTGAAACAAAGTGATGGTTGCCAGAAGGGAGGAGGTGGAAGGATGAACAAAATGGGTGAAGGGGAGTGGGCAATACAGGCTTCCAGGAATGGGATGAATAAGGCACACAGATAAAAGGTACAACGTAGGGAATATGGTCAATGGTATTATACTAGCGTTGTATGGTGATATATGGTAGCTGCACCTGTAGCGAGCACAGCATAACATATACAGTTGCTGAACCACTACACTACGCCTAAAAGTAACGCAACACTGTGTGTGAACTATATCTCAAGTTAAAAAAAAATAGTAATTAAAAAAAACAAAAGGACTCTTCCTCAAGAGAGATGTGTTTATTGAAAAGGAAGTCATCCCACCACCTTGGTCCACAACACAGCAGAACTAGGAATAGCCCAGGGCAGGCCAAAATACCCTGGTTTTTCAGTGCATCTCAAGAGTGAAGGACTATCCCACATGGGCCTATACAGCTGACTCACAAGGCGTTTTCATTTCCAGAAACTCACTCCCCTCCCCTCACTGGGTATGTGTACATCAGCTTCCATGATCTGTCTCCAACTTACTCTCTCCGTTCCACCTCGGTTTCCACTTCAAGTTTCCACTTCCACCACTCAGTATCTACCATGATGAATGATGAACTCAGTTTCTTGAATCCGTAAGCCCTTTTATCACTCACCTCCCAGGTATTTTTAGTACTGAGTTTTTCAAACTACAAGTTGTACCCCAGTTGGTCTTAATCCCTCCCCTCTATTAATGAAACAGAACAGAATAGAAAATAAAAGTAAGTAACAAAAGTTAAGTTTTGTTTTGTGGAACCTGCTTCCGTTATTGAAAAAAGCCAACACATGGGGCGCCTGGGTGGCGCAGTCGGTTAAGCGTCTGACTTCAGCCAGGTCACGATATTGCGGTTCGTGAGTTCGAGCCCCGCATCAGGCTCTGGGCTGATGGCTCAGAGCCTGGAGCCTGTTTCCGATTCTGTGTCTCCCTCTCTCTCTGCCCCTCCCCCGTTCATGCTCTGTCTCTCTCTGTCCCAAAAATAAATAAACGTTGAAAAAAAAAAATTAAAAAAAAAAAAAAAAAGAAAGAAAAAAGCCAACACAACACAGTTAAGCACCTTTGTATCAGGCACTCTTTAAAGCACTTTTTTGCAATAACTTACTTAATCCATACAGAAATCCTATTAGGTAAATATATTATTGTCCGCACTTCAGAAGAGGAAACTGAGGGAGAGAAGACACTAGCTTGCTGAAAATCGTGGTCTTAGAGCACAAGCACTCTGGCTGCAGAGCCAGAGCTTAACCATTCATTACCCCTCCTGTGTGTACTGGGTCACAACATAAAACGTTTTTTTTTTTTTACTGGGCATCATTGTTAAAAAAAGTTGGAAATCCACTGCCTTGGCGCTTGTCCTTTCTCCTCTTCTGTGATCTATTTTCTACTCTTGACAATTCCTATTCTACCCAGGTCAAAAATCACTTCCTTGGTCAAGGCCTTCTGATTCTCCAAGGGAAGATGTCACCAGAGCACCTCTATTACCACTTAGGTTTTTATTTGTGTCCTCTACTGGACTGAAACCAGAGAGGATCGAAATTGTCTCACTCATCTCTCAATGATAATGCAAGCCTGGTTTTACCCTACGTGTAGTCCAAGAGATTTCTACACCTCATCTTCAAATTTCTACCTTTGAAGACAACTGTGATTTTAAGACTGAATTAAAGACTTCTTGTCAGAAGTTAGCAGGAATAATCATTCTTAATTCTTCAAAGCCCTAAGGGCCTCTACTAAACAGTACTGTCTGATTCTCTTTCAACTACATACTTGAAAGTAATAAAAACAACTTTAAAAAAAAGATAACAACTACTGTTCTATTCAGATGTTGTTGTAGTTCTTACAAAGTCTGCAAGGCACCTACAAAGGTCAAGTGTGTAGCAAGAGTATACTCCTACATAGTTTGCAAAACAAACAACGGGCCAGGAACAACCTAAAACTCCATCCATGAGGAACTGATGAGGAACAAAATTGTTGTACAAACTCTATACCGCAATACTGTGCAAATATTTAAAAGAAAGCCTTACATGTATATTGGATGGAAGGTGTCCCTGCTATCATCTTAAAAACGTTGAGGCGCATACACAATACGTACAATGTGACCCCACTGTTGTTTAAAAATGTGAGTACTGTAGGAAAAAATCAGGACGGATGTTAACATCAAGCAGTTAACAGCAGCTAGCCTGAGGAGAGAACCCGTTAGGGTTGATGAACAGTTAAAACTGTACACACTTCTGTATTGTGTGCATTTTTTTTTAACTTCAGGCACTTACTTATTTATTTCAAACAACGAGAATGTGTGATCCTAACCGGTACTGTCAAACAAAATACTGTGAAATAAACACTTTTAAACTCAACTGCCTTTTCGTATCAGAGATTCCTGATAGGAGGAGGAGGAGGAGGAGGCAACACCTAAACCAAAAGGTAGTGATACTTCACACCAAAGGCCCCAAGTACGTTTGACAGATACTTGTTCAGCGTGAAGGGGCTTCCTCACCAACACAGAGATTTCCTAATGATGGGGCAGAGCAATAGCATCCTCTCCGGGTGTTGCTGTAAGACAGTGGTTTTCAAACTTCACGGTGTACAAAACTCAGTTGGAGGGTGCGCTGATTAAAATATATATTCCGGAGCCCCATCTCCGGATGTTCTGCTTGGGCGGGTCTGGGTGTGGCCCCAAAACCAGCCTTCTTCAAACAAGCACTCAAGTGCATCGGGCACAGATGGCGCGCAAGCCCTTGAAAGTTACTACCTTCAATTCTTGGGACACCTCAGTGTCACTCTTCCCGCCTCCCTCTGCGCCCATCTCTTTCCTCCAAAGGGCCTCAGTATTTCTCCAGTTTTGCGTCCAGTTAAAAACATCGTCGAGCGACGATTTCGATTTCCGACTTGTAAACCAGCCGGCCGAACTGCAGCAAGCACGTCAGCCTACCTCCATTTTTACCTTCCGCGGGGCCTCAACGCAGAACCCTTCCCCCACCAGCCCTTCTTCCGCCCGCGCCGCCACCCACGCCTCAAGCTCCACCCGCCCGCTGCCCCGGCTCCGAGGCCCGCCGAACTGGCCGTACCGCCGCCCGCTCCCCGCCTCCCGACCCCCAGCCGCCCGGGACCCGGCCGCCGAAACCCAAGAGCCACACCTTACGGCCGCTCCATGAGTCGCTCCCCCGCCGAGCCCGGGGGGGAGGGGGCGTCAGTCTCAGGCCCTAAGGCCTCAGCAGCATTTTGAAACGGCGAGTAGTGAGGGCGCAACTTCCGGCCTCCTGAACCCATCTCACACCAGGGCTTCCGGTGAGGCCTCCGGAAACCATAGAGACGCCACTGGAGGGCTAGAGAGGCAGAAAGACTGCCGTCTCCCCACCATAGAGTAGAGGCCAGTCCGGGGAGAGAGTCGCAGGACTTGGAAGACTAAGTTGTGAGGTTTCAAGAGAAAACGTTTGAGGAGCTCGCAGAGTCTGATGGTATTTACAGATGTGTCCTAGGACATCAAAAATCGAGGATGGAAGAAACCTAATAGCGTAGTCAGAGGAAGCCTTCCGCTCTTCCAAAAAACACCACTCCCTCTGTTTCTCAAAGTTAACGTATTCATTCTTATTCCCCAGAGATAGTGGCTGCAGAGGGCAAACAGCATCTTAGTGTTGTCGCTAATTGGGGGAAATAGAACTAGGATATACACGAATAACAACAAGATATGTGATAAATGCTGGAAGAGGTGCAAAGAACGAGGGAGGTGGAGCTTCTTTGGATCAGCAACCCGGTCATCGAGTCCCAATATAAAAGCTCCTGCCACAAACCTCTCAGGTTGGCCGACTTCCACCTCAGAAGGTGCCAAATGGTATTGTCTCTCCCAAATACCTCCTCTCATTGATTTCAGGATGATTCTAAATATTAGAGGATTTTCTGAGCTGAAGTATGTTACTTTGCAGTTTCCGTTGGTTTCATTTCTACACTTGGGAGACAGAGTAAGGCTTCATTCATTCTTTACCATATGAATACTGTTCAGTCATTTGAAGACAGTTACCATGTCCCATCTCTAACCCTGTGCCTTGTTCTTCTGCAAGCTAAAAATCTCACAGCCTTCAACTATTTCTTACTTGACATGGCTTCAAGCCACCCTGGTCACCATCTTCTGAACAAGCACCTGTTTGTTCAGTTTAAAATATGGTTCCCAGAGAACTGGGTACAAACCCATGCTAAATAAAATAGGGCAATGACCCCCCCCTTAATTTGCACATTGCACCTTGCTCTATTTCTGGCATAACCTTACCGCAGAGCTGGAGATCCAGATCTCTGCAAATGAGCCGAAAAAGTAATGCCTTTTCACAGTTGCTCTGAAAGAGCTTGAAGTCAGCAACCACCTCTCTCAAAAATTAGAGGGGAGGGGCTTTTTTAGGTGAACCAGCCTCCACTGTGTCCCCTCTCTTTTTATGCAATCAATTTGAGTGCTTTTTTGGTTTAATTCCCAAACAGGAGTTTGTTTTGTATCTTTCAAATAGTATCCGGTTAGTTTAGGTCTCTCCCTATTGCCTCCTGGACTCTTGGAATTATGATCCTGTCATGCAATTCATTTTGTTTAAGATAAACATTTGTTGAACACCTACCGTGTGCCAAACACCAACCTAGAAGATTCCAAAACACGTAACACCTGGAATCTGTCCAGTGGAGGACTCAGACAGTCCAGGTAAGGAGAATGTGGGTCTACAGCCATACCGCCCTGAACGTTCCCAGTCTCGTCTGATCTCAAAAGCTAAGCAGGGTCACGCCTGGTTAGTACTTGGGTGGGAGAATGTGGTAAGTGCAATGCTTGATGAGCTGCACTTAACCATGCCTGGAAGGTTGAGAGGGATTAGTTCTTTTCCTTTTACATTTTGCAAAAATTTTGATTAAGATCTTTAACGTGTCTTCACTGAAAGTCTTGATAAATACGCTGAATAGGACATGGTTAAGAACAGAGCTTTTCCTGTCATGGTTGATATTAATTCGTGGTTGATCATTCATCCTTGAATGTTGTTCTTAAACCACAAATGATTCTGCCTACTAGTGGTCAATATCTGGACACATTTTGCTACCCTTTCCCAAGGACTTCATAAAACTTCATCACATGACTTGCTCTAATGAAAATAAGCCATAACTATAGCATTTCTTCTGCTCGTCAAATGCACTTAAAAAGAAAATGAAATTAGCTTAAGCTCATAACTAACTCAGTGATCCTCACTTCCTTCCCTAAGAACTATACTCAAAAACTGTTTATTTAATAAAGAGACAGGAAACCTGGGTTTAGTCTAGCTATTTCTAGAAACCAGAAAGTTACACAGTTCTACAGTTTCCCAGTCTGTGAATAAAATGGCTAAATGAGATGATTTTTCTAGAGCCCCTGGTAGTTCTAAAGGAATTGGAAGTCAGTGTTATTATAGCCTTTCTTAAAAATTCATAATGAGCTACTTCATGCATACAAAAAAAAGTATAAAGAAGAATCTAATCTTTTCCCCGTAACTCTTCCTTTTTTTTTTTTTCTTTTTTAAATGTTTACTAATTTTTGAGCAACAGAGTGCGAGCAGGGAGGGGCAGGGAGAGAGGGAGACACAGAATCCGAAGCAGGGTCCGGGCTCTGTGCTGTCATGACCCGAGCCGAAGTTGGACACTGAACTGACTGAGCCACCTAGGCACCCCCCCCCCACTTTTCCTAAAGAACGATACTTTACCTGTTACAAAAGGTTTCCTATAGTAGTCCCATCTCCCTCCTTCAACTCCATAGGGAACCACTATTCTGAATTTGGTATTTACCCCTGCCATGCACTTCTTTAGACCTTTAGGATTTATATATGTATATATTCCCTCAGAATTTTATGCTTTTAAAATCTTTGTAAATGGCATCAGACTGTACGTATTCTGCAACTTGCATTTTTTCCTCGTTGTTGTGAAGTTCCACCATGTTGAATCACATATGGTTAGTTAATTTTCAATATTGTGGAGTAATACTGTATCGTAATATATTAAATTGTAGAATTAATTGTTATACAGTAAGTGTGCTTCTCTAGAGCTGGCATCACAGAATACCACAGACTGGATGACTTAAACAACAGAACTTTGTTTTCTCACAGTTCTGGGTGCTAGAAGTACAAGATCAAGGTGTTGGCAGATTTGGTTTCTTCTGATACCTCTCCTTGGCCTGCGCATGGCTGCCTTCTTGCTTTGTCCTCACCCCCTCGGTCTGTAAGTTGTCTGTGCCCTGATCTCTTATAAGGCCACCAGCCATAATGCATTAGGGCCCACTCCCATGACCTCATTTTACCTTAATCACCTCCGTAAAAGGCCTGTCTCCAAATAGAGTCACATTCTGAGATGCTCAGGGGGTAGGACTTCCACACATTAATGGGTGGGGGGCACAATTCAGCCCATAATTGTAATGATCATACCACAATTTTTTATTCACCTCCTCCTTTGATAAATACTAAGGTGTTTCCAGTCGTTTACTGTTACAAACAGTGCTGCCATCGACATTCTTGTACTTGTGAACTCCAGGGAGTAGAATCATTGGGTCACAAACACATTGTCAATGCTGTCAGATCATAACACAGTGCTCTCCAAAGTGGTTGTGGGAATATACACTCCTCACGAATGTGTATAGGAGTCTCTTGGTCCATATTTTCGCCAACCCTTGGTATTGTCAGACTATTAAAAAACGAATCTGATAGATGTGAGAATTTCTCATGGTGGTTTGAATTCTATTTCCATGATTAAGAGTAAGGCCGAGCATTTTTTCGTATATATTGACTACAGTTACTCACCTATGAATTGCCTGTCCATATCTTTTGCCCATTTTTCTATTGGTTAGCCTTTTCCTTGTCCATTTGTAGGAGTTCTGTATATAATCTGGACATTAATCCTTCTTGATTATTATGTATTACCAATCTTCAAATCTATACCTTGTTTTCAGTTTTTTAATGTTGTCTTTTGATGAACAGAAGTTTTTTTTTCAGAAGTTTTTTTAATGAAGTCAGATTTATTAGCTATTTTCTTTATGTTTCACTTCCTTTTTTTTTTTTTTTTTTAAGAGCTTCCTCCCTGTTAGGGGGTCATAAAGATACTCATATATTTTCTCCTAAAAGTTCTAAAGATGTCCTTTTCACATATAAGCCCTTAGCTCATTTGCAAGTGATTTTTGTGTATGTTGTAACATGGAGATCCAATTTTACTTTTTCAATTTGAAGAATAAATACACGTCTCTATTACTGAATCTGTAAACTGAATGTGAGTCTATCTATAGTCTCTTGAATTCATCTTTTCTTCCTAGTTAACACAATCATTGAAGATTTTGTGGAAGAGGTTTCATTTGAGTGGGGCCTTAAAAAATTGAATAGGATTTTGAGGGGTGCCTGGGTGGCTCAGTCGGATAAGCGTCCAACTTTGGCTCAGGTCATGATCTCACAGTTCATGGGTTCGAGCCCCGCATCAGGCTCTGCATTGACAGCTCAGAGCCTGGAGTCGGCTTCCCATTCTGTGTCTCCCTCTCTCTCTGCCCCTCCACCTCTCATCTCTCTCTCTCTCTCTCTCTCTCAAAAATAAATAAACATTAAAAAGAAACTTTAAAAAAATGAATAGGATTTCAGGAGGTGTAAATAGGAGAAGTCATTTGAAGAAACATGGCACAAATAATGAGGAAAGAAAGAGATGAATTGGAAGGTATGATCTTAAAACTGAAAGAATCTACTTTGATCAAAGTGTTGGTTACTGAGTAAACGATTGGCATGGTATCGAATCACACTGTCTCATATAATATTCACCAGCCACATGTGGCTTGAAATTTGGCTAGTCCAAATTGAGATGTGCAATGAATGTAAAATACACATTATATGTCAAAGACTTAGTAGTGAAAAATACTATATCTTATTTATAATGTTTTATATTTTTAATATTTATTTATTTATTTTAATGTTTATTTTTTGAGAGAGAAATAAAGACAGAGCATGAGTGGGGAAGGGGCAGAAAGAGAGGGAGACACAGAATCCGAAGCAGGCTCCAGGGCTCTGAGCTGTCAGCACAGAGCCCGACGCAGAGCGTGACCCTAGTAAGTGTCAGATTATCATGACCTGAGCCGAAGTCAGACGCTTAACCAACTGAGCCATCCAGGCGCACCAATAATGTTTCATATTGATTACATATCAAAATGATAATATTTTGAAATATTGGGTTGAATAAAATATATTATAAAAATTAATTTCATCT